GGTGGGGAGAGGGATCGGGCATGGAGATGTGGGAAGGGGACTATGGGGAGAAGGTGTGGAGAGGGGCTACAGGGAGAGGCTATAGGGAGAGTGGATATGGGGAGAAGGTAAAGGAGATTTGGGAAAGGGGTTTGAGGAAGGTCTATGAAATTTGGGGCAGGACACTGGGGAACAGGACAGGAGGTCTGGTTTAGTGGGAGTGTGCACCCTCAGCAGCCCCGGCAGCTTCTGACAGGCACCTGTGCCCATGCCTCATCCCAGGGAAGCAGCCACTGCCGCCTTCCCGGGCATGTCCAGCACACCGGACCCAGCACTGGCAGAGCACATGTTCCCATACTGGTGCGGGCAGTGGGGACCCCACCATCCACGGATGCCACACGTCCCCCCACAACACCACACAGTGCCAGTGCCAGCGCTGGGCCTGCCCAGGCTCCCGCTCCGCTTGGAACAATCCGGCCTTTGAGCGGATCCAGGGCCGGCGCACGAGGCGCCCGCCTGCAGAATGGGCCCATTCTGGTGGCAGGTGCCATGAGGGGCCGGGGACTCCAGCTGGCCCCCAGCTTTACTGGGGGGGGTGGAGCCCAGTTGGATTTGGCACACAGTTGGATTTGGGGGCTCAAGTGTCACAGCAGTGCCAGGGCCGTGTATCAGTCATGGAAGGGGCTGAGGTGGGATGGAGGGGCACTGGGACCAGGCTTCACCCGGGGCACCCTCCCGCCTGGGCACAGAGGGGTGCCCTGCATCCACCCCGTGCCTGGCGGCAATGGCTGTCTATGTCCCCGTATGTGTCCCTGTCCATGTCCCCTCGGGCAGGAATGGAAGGTGACCATGGCTGGGGCTGGGACCCCTTCAGGTACCAGTGTCCCCTGGGAAGGGACCCCACGAGCGACGGGATGGCTGTGGGCTCCCGTCCGCCATGCTCGGTGCACCCCGAAACAGAATCAGGAGCATCCCGGGACCGCCTAGGGGCTGTGCCGGGACAGTACAGGGACCACGCCAGAAGCACGCCTAGTTCTGTACCGGAGCAGTACCGGGACCGTGCCAGGACAGTACCTGAACCATCTCCGGATGGCTCCTGTACCAGGACGGTATCTAGACCACACCAGGACTGTGCTGGGACCGTGTCAGGACTGTACCAAGACTCTACCGGATCCATGCTTGGACCGGACCGGGACCGGGACAGTACCGGACCCCGCGGTCACGCCCGGGCTCGGTGCGGTGTTGTCCCGCTCNGGTGACACTGGCTCCTCGTCACCTGTCCTCGGTGCCAGCTGTTGCAAGGCAACAGCACGGTTACGCCGCAGTGTCACCCACCCACTGCCACTGATGGGCCCGCGGCAAGGTGTCGTGCCCTCCCAGGTTACTGTCACCAGTGGGTTATAGACCTCAGTCTGGTGGCCTGGGCGTAGGTCACCCCCAGGTCTCTGTACCAGTGACATCAGCAGCCCCGAAATGTGGGAACTGGTGTCTACTGGGAGGGCCCCAGTGAGTGGCTGGATGCCAATGACCCCACCAGTTCTGATAGGTGAAAACTGGTGACTGCTGGGAGGATGGCTCAGCATCCCCTTCCCAGATGTGATCCCTCACTGAGTGTCTGGGATCCTGCAGTGAGTCCAGCCCTGGGACCCTCCGTGCAGTGCCAGTGACCCCACCAGATGCAGTGTGTGGGAACTGATGGCTATTGGGAAGACCCCAGTGAGCATCTGGGACATGATCCAGCCCTGGCACTCAGTGTGATGTCAATGTGTGTGTGTGTGTGTGGCCACATGTCCAGCTCCAGTGTGCAGGAATTGGTGGCTACTGGGAGGACCCCAAGTGAGCAGCTAGGACATGGTTCAGCCCTAGGACCCCCAGATCTCAGTGCCAGTGACCCCAGCAGCTCCAGTATGTGGGAACTGGTGGGTACTGGGAAGACTCCAGCAATCAGCTGGGACCCTCAGCACAGTGCCAGTGAAGCCACCAGCTCCAGTACACAAAACTGGTGGCTACTGGGAGGATACTAGTGAGAGACTGGGACATGGGCCAGCCCTGGCAGCACCCAGTCTTGGTGCCAGTGTCTCCTCAGATTTGGGGTGATGAGGTTGAACCAAGCTAGATGAGCAGTCCTGGGAGCCACCTCAGTGTTGTTGCTAGCCCAGGGCACATGGGGACAGTGAGAAGTATGGTTGGGGCCCGTGGCATCAGTGCCATCATCTCAAGGCATCAGTGGTGCCTGACAAAGGGGACGCCTATCCAGCTGGGTGCCACAGGAGGGGCTTAGTCAGGCCCCCTGTCTCCAAGGAGCCAGGAGATGCCCATGTCCCCAGGCAGACAGTGATCTTGTCCCCAGATGTGTAGTCAGGGTCCTTGTCCCCCAAGCAGGTGAATGTGATCTTGTTCCTGGGGCGGCAGGAGATGTCCCAGGTAGAGGGGGCTTCTGTCCCCAAGCAGGGAAAAGTGTCTGTGTTCCTGAGCAGGCAAAGACCACCCTGTCCCCAAGGAGCCAGAAGATTCCCATGTCCCCCAGAATGCAGAGCAGGACCCTGTCCCCCAGGAGATGCCCATTTCCCTGAGCCAGCAGAAATGTTCTTGTTCCAAGCAGGTTCTCCAGAATCCTGTCCCCACAGGGGAGAGTGATCTGGTCCCCAGGGATCCAGAAGATGGCCATGTTCCCGAGCAGGCTGGCAGTAAGCAGAGAGCACTCCTGTCCCCAAGCAGTTGAAAGTGGCCATGTCCCAAAGCAGGCAGAGAGGATCCTGTTCCTGAGCAGCCAGAAGATGTGCATGTCCCTGTGCTGGCAGAAATTATCTTGCCCCAAAGAGCCAGGAGATGCCCATGTCCCCAAGAAGGCAGAAGAGGCAGAGAGAGTTCCTGTCCCCAAGGAGCAAGAGGATGCCCATGTCCCTGAGTAGGCTGGCAGTAAGCAGAGAGGGCTACTGTCCCCAGGGTGATGAAAATGGCTATGTCCCCAAGCAGGCAGAGGGGTACACTCTCCCTGAGCAGCCAGAAGATCCCCACATCCCTGATCAGGCACAAATGAACTTGTTCCCGTGTAGGCACTCAAGGATCCTATCCCTGGGCAGCGGGGAGTGACCTGGTCCCTGAGGAGCCAGGAGATGCCCATGTCTCTAGGCAGGCCGAAGAGGCAGAAGGAGAGATTCCTGTTCCCAAGCAGGCAGAGCCACAGAGAGCCATCGTGGTGTCCCTGCACAGGCAGAGCACGTGGGAGGAGCAGAGAGCTGGCAGCGACCACAGAAGCTGGCACACGGTGACAATGCCCTGTGGGTGATGATGCCTGCCTCGCAGGGTGACAATGCTGCAGGGTGTAATGATGCCCCACAGGGTGCTGATGCCGTGTAGAGTGACAACGTCCCAACAACGTCCCACAGGGTGACGATGCCCCACAGAGTGACAATGCTCCATACAGTGACTGTGTCTCTTGAGGTGATGATGCTCCACAGGGTGATAATGACCCACAGGGTGAAAATTCCCTGCAGGGTGCTGATGTCCTGCATGGTTCCAGTGATGTCCTACAGGGCGCTGATGTCCCATACAGCAATGATGTCCCTTGGGGTGACACGGTGGCCCCAGGGCAGACACTCCAACTCTAGCTGCTGCATGGATCCCAGACACACACATACACCATGGGTGCCACTCCCAATGTCATTCCCTTGGGGCAAAGGGGACCTGAAGTACCCCTCTGCCCACCCGGCCTTTTTGGGGTCATTCAACATTTATTCAACACAAGGCAAGGACAAGGTGAGGGTTGGGAATGCAGGGATCTGTCAACACAGCAAGGTCATGGTCACAGGGGGTGCTAGGAGCTGTGGGACATGCAGGGACACTTTTTTGCATGCAGGGACACATTTTGCATGCAGGGACAATGTTTTGCATGCAGGAACAACGTTTTGCATGCAGGGCCACCTTTTTGGTCGTTGGGGAAGGTAAAAGCTAAACTCAAGAACTGACCGGCTCTGGTCCATCTGTAGTGGGCAGGGAAGTGTCCTGTGTGCTCACATCCTTCTTCTCCTCCTCTTCCTCCTCTTCTGACCTGCACAGGGAGACAGCTGGTCAGCATCCCCATCCTAGACATGATCCCATAGGGATGGGGATGGCTGCTGCTCCCTGTCCCCCTCAAGGGATCAAAGCTCTGTCAGGCTTGACCTTCATCTCTCCTCTTCATCAGCATCAATTTCTTGCTTGGAAAAGGCAAATTGCTAAAAAGCCCTTAATGCTACAAAACATCCTTAATGGTTTGAGAAGAGGGATGTGGAAACAGTGTCCCTGGTCACATGGAATGATGGTGGCATTCCTTACCCAGCCTCCAGCTCCCCATCCAGATCCAGGCAGTAGTCAGGAGCTTCGGAGCGTGTCGTCCCGTCCCGCACCAGCCCCTCACGCAGAGACCGCCCGCCAAGGAGCTCCAGCTGCCAGGCAAGGAGTGAAGGTGTAAGGGATGGGGGGGAGACTGTGGCAGGGCAGGCAGAGGCCTCATCCCGAGCCTTTCTCACCGTTGTCAGCTTCCTGAGGGCAGCAATGCGCTCCTCCCAGGTGGCGGAGGACTTCTCAAAAGCCTCATGTCGCTTCAGCAGCTTCTCCACGGCATCCACCGTCTGCCCGTAGTCGCTGCTGGCCAGGTAGGGCTCCTGAGCTATGAGCCACGACTCGGCCACCGAGGCGTCGCGGGAGAACTGGCACACCTCCAGCACTGTGGGAGGGATGGGCAGCGCTCAGCCCCTGGACCACCGACCCTGCCACCCCCGGCACTGCCACACTCCTCCCCGGCACCCCCAGCGCACTCACACAGCCGCAGCCGCTCCCAGCGCTGCTCCCACATCTCCATCATGGCTTTCCTCTTGTCCACCAGCTCCACCAGCTTCGCCTTGATCTGTGAGGGGATGCTGTTAGGGAGTGGCCCAGATGGCATCATCCCCACCACTCCCAATCCCTGATTCCCTCACCTCTGGAGAGTCTTGGTGCTTGCGCTGCAGCAGCTTCTTGCCCAGCTCGATGCAGTCGGTGAAGTTCTTGCCTCGAGCATCCACCTCTGCCTTAATTCCCTGGTGGTATTTCATCAGCAGCTCCACCGAGGAGACATCCCTGAGGACACAGAGGGGCCAGGGTCAGTGGTGCCATCGGTTCCATGCCCCATCCCGGGTGCCCGTGGAGTTCATCCATACCTGGGTTTCTCCTGTGTCTCAATCTGCCGGACAGTGCTCTCCATCCAGGAGAGCAGATCCCGTGCCATGCTGAAGAAGCGGTGTTTGTCGGCCGTGTCCGTCA